TATAGAAAGTACACCTGCACTGGTCAGTCTGTGTCTGTTTCTACTTCCTGTCTTCTCAAACAGCCAGTTGAAGCAGATGTCCGCTCGTCCTGAGCTGGTTCTGTTGGAGGTTTCTTCCTGTTAAAGGGAGTTTTTCTTCCCACTGTCTCCTTTGCTCTTGCTCAGGATGGGAGACTGTGACAAAGTTAAGATGCAACACAACCTGCTGCTTCCTGAGATAAAGAACTTTACCAATTGTCTTTTTTATGTATGTGAATGTTTCTGTTCAGTGTCCTGAGACGACTTTGTTGTGACTCGGAGCTACAGAAATAAATTGAACTGTTTTAGCTCTTCCCAGTAAAAAGACTTTACTCTGGTGTAACTTTTCTGTAAAGCTGCATTCTGTGTGTGTTCAGTTTACCTTCAGGTGATGCCTGCGGCTTGAAGTCAGCTTCTTCCTGCGAGGAGAACAACAACGTTAATGTCCTCCTTCTTTTCAGGACAGTTTAGAAACAAGAAAATATCAGAGCACAACAGTTACTATATAATGTACGTCAATAAAATTATGAACACTTTCAATGGAAGTGTTTCCAAAGGATCACGTGTCCAGCTTGTTGTGAAAAGTTTAGTACGTGGACAGTGCGAGGGAATGTAATTTCTCCCATTAATCCCTCGAGTATTTCAGCGCTGAGGACGTTTGTTGAGAATCAGCATGAGTGAAACTGTGAAGAGTCTTTTTCTTCTTTCGGCTGCTCCTTCTTCAGGGGTCCACACCGTGAACTAACTCGCACCAAGACTTGGTGATTGTTTTTACACCGGATGTCCTCAACAGAACCACAGACCAGCGAGCTACCACAGCCCTCTGTGAGGAGCAGAGAGCACCCAGGGGAGCAGATGGTGTTAAGGGCCTTGCTCAAGGGCCCAGAGTGAGGCAGATGAGGGTGGAGACAGGTGCTTCAACTTTCACACCCACATTATGATGCTGTTGGTGTAGGGAGTTGAACCAGCGACCTTCCGATCACAGGCCCACCTTCTCTAGCCTCTGCACCACCACTCCCCCGTTTTGTTTCATAAATATCTAAAAGTTTTGTTTTTGGTTGGATTCTGAGTTTTCATGTAAACTAAAATAATTTAAAAAGGTGTTAGTATTTTGGGTCAGCACGGCGGAACAGTGGTTAAATCTGTCACCACCCAATGAGAAGGTTACAGGTTCGCATCCCAGCCTGTGACCTTTCCCACAAACTGAAAACGTGCACGTTAGTCTGACTGGTATCTCTGCATT